TGTGCTATTGCTCCAGCCCCTCTTGTTATTTTTTAAAATTTTATTTTTATAAAGATGTTCACAATATTTTATTACATTTAATATTCAAACACCAATCCCACCACCCTTACACCTTCCCAGCACCATATTTTCATCTCAAACCCCAAACCCTGCCCCCAAGAAGAACCGAAATAATATATTTTGTATTGCTTGTTATGAATAATCTGCTAAAAATGATCCAAAAAAGGTTTCTTAAGAGGAAAGTGTGTGAAGATTGTTGAATTTCACCAAGGAGCCATTAAGCCCTTCTATAAGAGATTAGCAACATGTTGTTTGATTCCTCTGCCCCTCTCGGAGAACCGGCAAGCTACCGAGAGAGTATCTTGCCTGCATGGCAAAGCCTGGCAAGCTATCCGTGATGTATTCTATATGACAAACAGTTACAAGTCTCACAATATTACTGGGCCCGCTTGAGCAAATCCATGAACAATGGGAGGACAGTGACAATGACAGTGAACATGTTGTTAAAGGTTGAGACTTGTGTACTTATATTTATATCTGTATTTATATCTATATTTATATTTCCTCCTAAGATTGGTTGTCTTCTACTTTAAACCCAATCAAATGTGGTGTGCTACTCTTGGTATATTAGTGGTATAAAGTATAAGGTACCGTGCGGCTGCACAGTCCAGGAATAGATTCAGACATGGGTGAGGCTTCTCTGAGACTGTGGAGAGTGGCTATGAGTGTGACTGCAATTGAGCTATGGGTTTTTTTTTTTTTTGGCTGCCAGGGATGGCTCCGGTGGGGTGGGGAGGGGACTAACCTGGCCCGCTCTGGGTATGTTAGAGTTGTCCATTGAACCAGAGGAGGACAAAATAAACAGGAAGGAGTGAGCAACTGCCACAGAATATTATTTTATTTTTTAAAAGTTGTTCATGATTTATTACATTCAATATTCCAAACAGATTAATAGTATGTTAGAGTTGTCCATTGGTCCAGAGATATCATTTAGCCATGTTGTAGGCATTTTAGAAAGGTTTTGGGGAATGAAGCTTCCATTACAGCTCTTTCTTTGCTTTATTTCAATGTCTAAAATACTCTGCCTCTTAATAGGCGCCCTGTAAACTATGGTGGAAAACTCAGGTGTGAGAGATAAATTGAATATAATCAACCAATGGTATATGGAGGAACTGGATCTAGAAACTAGTTTTGTTTGTTCATATTTTTAATTTTTAGGGTTTTTTCATTTGCCACATCCATCAGTGTTCAGGGCTTATTGCACTCCCAGGGTTACTCCTTGTGGTGCTTTGAGGACCATATGTGGTACTGGGAATGGAAATCAGGTCCACTGGTGACTTTCCATATGAAAATTTGCTAGTCAATGTCTGAAACCTAAGTTGAGACTTTAGTTCTGTATCTAATCCTTGTTTTCTGTTTTTATACCACACATAGCTGTGCTCAGGGCTTATTCCTGGCTCTGCACTCAGCAATCACTACTAGTGGGGCTGGGTGTCTATAAAAGGTTCTGAGAATCAAACCCAGATATATCTCATATAAGGCAAGTGCCTTATCTACTATATTACCTCCCTGACCTTTATTCCTTATCTTTTTATTCACTTCCATTTTAATAGAAACAAATCATTACACTGTCTAAACTCAGTTTCTTCATCTGTCATGAGATGCTGTTTCCTTTAAACTGTCCTAACCTGTGGATTTAGATTTCATAAAAAGTTACGAATATCACCTACAGCGGCTTTTGTGACCGCGTGACATCTTTTTATCTCATTTTTCTTCTGGAGAGCCCGGCAGGCTACCGAAAGCATCCTGCCCGCACGGCAGAGTCTGGCAAACATCCCGTGTCGTACTCAATATGCCAAATACCAGTAACAATGATAGGTGTCATTCTCCTAACCCTGAAAGAGCATTGAATGTGGCTCTTTTAAAATCTCAGGGCTAGGAAGAAGGAGACATTACTGGTGCCTGCTCGAGGCAATCGACGAACAACAGGATGATCATGATCGTGATCACCTACAGATTACAGTTTGAGTGTCCTATCAGTGTTTTTTAAATTTATGTTGTATGTTTTTGGGCTACAACCAGTGGTGTTCAGGAATCGCTCCTGGCTCTGTGCTCAGGGGTTACTCCTGATTGTGCTCGGGGGACCATGTGCTATTCCAGGGATAGAGGTGGGCTCAGCTGTGTGCAAGGGAAGTGCCTCACCCACTATACTTACTCTCTGATCCCTTTCAGTGTTTTAAAAGTATGGTCAGCAAATTACATCTGTCGAATCACCTTAAGATCTTTTAGTTTCATAGACTGCATTGCTAAAATGAATGAATTAGGTGTATTGCTGTTGATTTGAAAGGATTTGTTAGTCCTGTTTCCCAAGCCTTTCTACTTCTGTAGTTACCTTATTAACAATGATATATGTGAGGCACTATGAGACAAAAAAACTTAGGACTTTTCTCTGACAACGTACTTGAGAAACTGCAGTTCTGTATAACTGAGCAGAAAAGAATGAGATATTTTTCAAGACAATGCCCACAATAAGTATATGTAAATATCTATATGAAATTATAATATCTGCATAAGAGTGTGCTGAGTATAGATACAACCATTATAAGAATATTGAAAAGAACATACTAGGTTGTTAATGTAGCACTGTAGCACCGTCTCCTTGTTGTTCATCGATTTGCTCAAGCGGGCACCAGTAATGTCTCCATTGTGAGACTTGTTGTTACTGTTTTTGGCATATCAAATACGCCACAGGGAGCTTGCCAGGCTCTGCCATGCAGGTGGGATACTCTGGTAGCTTGCTGGGCTCTCCGAGAGGGATGGAGGACTCGAACCCAGGTCGGCCGCGTGCAAGGCAAATGCCCTACCCGCTGTGCTATGTAATATAGTGGGGAAAATCATATTTTAAAAAGTGAAAGCATCAATGTGTCAAGTCCATTTATGTATTTATGTAGAAGAATGCATTTGTATATAAGAACATTAGAAGTATCCAGATCCCCGGGCCCTATCACCTCTTATCACCTCAGATAAAGGATGTGTGTGGAAGTGAATGCTTGCATCACTAACAAGTATTCCAAGTGATTATGTAACAAAGAAGTCTGTAAATATATTAGATGCTACTATCAATAGTTGCAAATACAGCAGAGTTGGAAATTTCCATGCTGCAATACAGTATCAGCTGTTCCTCACTGTCTTGGAACTTAGTTGATGTATAATAAATAGTGGCTGATTATTCGAGTCACTTAAAGAATAGGTGGAAGAAGTGCAGTCTAAAGCAGTAAAAGCAGATCAATTTGGCAATGTCAAGTTCAAGAGAGGGGAGGGAAAACACATAACAATGAGGCTATTGTTGGTCCTTGCCATTTTCAGATATTCAACCAACTTTTTTAAGGCACCAAAGACAGGCAAAACACGTTTGTATATCTTTTGTTAAGAATTTTGGAATTCTGCCCGGCAAGCTACCGAGAGTATTCGATATGCCAGACACAGTAACAACAAAATCTCCAATGGAGACGTTACTGGGCCCGCTCGAGCAAATCGATGATCAACGGGAGGGCCTTTACTTTACTTTACTTTTAACAAATCTACAGATTTACGTTGGGAGTGACACTAGTAGAATCAGAATAGGGATTTGAACCCAATGCTTGCTTTGCGTACTAAGCTATGAACCCGGCAGTTTCTGGGTGAAGATGATGAACACAACAAGTAGTTTGCTTTATTTCACACCTAGAATCCTGCTGCTCTGTCACGCCCATTGCTGTGTTGTCAGTGACACTCACAGATTCTGAGAAGCAATTTCTTTGTCATCTAACCTAACTCAGGGCCTGTCAAAGAGATTACAGCTTCCCATCCACCCCCAATCATCTCCAGTGTTTTCATAGTGGGGAGAAAAGTATAATTTCACAGGCAAAATTATAGTGCACGTCCCCCATGCCCTGCAGTGGATAAGAAACCTAATTTTCAGTTCTTTTCAGTTCTTTAGCACCTGTCAAGTGGGCAAAATTCTGACTTTTACAGCTTTATTTGCAAAGTGCTTTTCTGTTAGAGAAGGAAGATCAAGAAGGCAAGATCAAGAAGGAAGATCAAGAAGGCAAGAAATGGCCTTCTCATTGGGTTCAGAGGTGAGGCAACGAAAGGTACATACTTCTTAGACACACCCTTTTTATTTTTGGGTAATCTCACCCCCGATTGGGAAATGACAAGGTTTAAGAAAAGAAATCACGTGTATATTTTGTGCCCCAATGCTTTAAACAACAACAACAAAACGACCTAACATTAATGTTTGTCATCCACTAACATTAACCTGACGTCCTCGATGCACTGGACCTCTGCCCTCTGTTCCCACCGTTTCCGGAGACGTAGCCATTTTGCAGATTCTGGAGGATGGGAATCAGAAGCTGGACCCTGGTACCCACCCTCATTGCCCAAACCCACGCGGGGCCGGGGCGGCTCGGGAGCCCCGAGGCTGGTGTCCAGGATTTGGCAGCAACTTGGAGCCGCAGGGACCGGAAGAAGGGAGCCTGGGATTCCCAGGTGGGCTCGGCAGAGTGCGGGTGCCCGTAGCTTCCGCACTCACCACTCACTCTCCTGGACCTTATACTGGAGGAGTGGGGGGAGCAGGGGGCGGAGCTTCCCGGGTCCCCCTCGTCCCGCCCCGGAAGCGACTTTCCTGGCCACGCCCAGCTCAGGTGTGCGGCCCGCGTGGGCGCGGGGCGTGCGAGTCCGTCCTGAGCACAAGCACCACACCTCCTCCCTTAGTTACACGAAGCCAGAAAGCGCCGATTTCAAAAAACGATGACGGCATAAACCTGTCCAGCCCGCGGGGTGGGGGGGTGGGGAGCACGGGATTGGAGTGGGGGGGGGCAAATCTCTGAGATGTCCTGGCCGCGGAGGCCGCTTCACCTTCGCCCCGTACGCTCCCTCCGCTCCCTCCGCCCCTGCGCGGTGGTCGGCAAAGCCCGGCGCGCTGGATCCGGAGCGGGAGGAGCGGCTCGGCGAGCGCGAGCGGCGCCGCGGGCCGGGAGCCCGGCGCACCGGGCATGCTCAGTGGCGCGGCCGGCTGGGTGGCCCCGCGAGCTGCACCCGGATCTGCTCGGCGGCGGCGGCGGCGGCGGCGGCGACGACGTGAGCGCGCAGGGGGGCGGCGGCCTCGCCTCGTCTCTCTCTCTGCGCCTGGGTCGGCTGGGTGACGCCGCGCGCCAGGGAGATGTCGGATTTCGACAGTAATCCCTTTGCGGATCCGGATCTGAACAACCCCTTCAAGGTGAGCGGCGTCGCCCCTCCTGGGCCGGGGGTTGGAGGAGACAAGTTCCCTGCGCGCCCACCCGCGCCCGCCGCTGGTGCCGGGGGCCGCCGCACCCTTGTTTATTTCTTTGGTGATGGGGGTGGTGGTGGTGATGGTTGCAGCCCGAGTCCCCGCTTCTCTCGCTGGCGGAGGTCGGGATGGAACCTCGTCGGCCCCGGCCGCCCCCTCCCCCCTCGCGCCGCCTGCAGGGGCGGGTCGTGCCCTGGCCGCGGAGCGGGGCCCGCGCGCCGGGAGGGCTGCAGGGCCGCCTCGCGGGAGCGGGCGGAGAGAGCTGTCCAGGCAGGTGGAGTTGTCACCTGCTCGGCAAGTGTGTCTGGCCCGGCCTGGGCGGGGGCCTGGAGGAGGCGGCCCGGTGCTCGGGAGAGGTGGGGGGCGGGGGGGTGCTGTGCAAGCCCGAGATGGGATTGTCATGGGGACCCGAGGAGGCGGCGGCGGAGAGCTGCACCGAGTGATTGGCAGAGGTGTGTTGGAGCGGTGAGGGTACCGAGCCGGCTGCAATGAAACAACCACCACCCGAAGAGATTGTTTTTATTATTTAAGATTTGTGTTGCGCCCACACACCAGGAGCGGCGCTGCCGTTCCCCCCCTCCAAGTAGGCTGAGGGTCCTGCCACCCGAGCCCGAGTTAAAAATACATAAACACACCTGGAAAACAATGGTGCACGTGGACGACCATCTTCCTCCCCGACTGCTTTTAAGAAGGTAAACGCTGGGATCTTTTCCAAGCGCCCCGTGCGTCACCGGGGCTCCGGGCTGTGCGAGGATCCCATTTCCCACTGGAGCCTCTTTTCCTTCTTGACCTTATCAGCCCCAGCCACGGAAGTGCTTGGCACAGAAACGGGAGAAACCGGCCGCTAGGAAGCTCATTGTCTGCCCTTCAGTTCGCGCCCCAGCGCTGTAAATTTCGCTTTCCAAAGTGCACTGGGCTTCTTGCAGCAGTTGCTAACAACACGTGTAATTTGTTCCCAACTTTTGAACTTGTTTCTTAATTTCCCCGGGATTAGTGCAGTGGTAACTTTTTGTTTGCAGGCAGGCCAAATGCAGTAGTAACTTTGTAATTTGTGGTCACAGGTATGTCCCTGGTTTGGCTTGTTTTTCCTTTTTCTTTCTTCCTTTGCTTCTCTTTCTTTTTTATTTTCTCTTCCTCGCTGCCTCCCTCACTGCCCTTCCCTCCCTCCCTTCCCTCCTTTCCCTCCTTTCCCTCCCCTTCCTCCCTCCCTCCCTCCCTCCCTCCCTCCCTCCCTCCCTCCCTCCCTCCCTTCCTTCCTTCCTTCCTTCCTTCCTTCCTTCCTTCCTTCCTTCCTTCCTTCCTTCCTTCCTTCCCATATAATCCTGAAAGACGATGAATATCCCGGTTTAGAGTACTAACCTGGTAGTTTCATGGAGAAAATGATTCTAGTTGTTGACATCTTGAAGTCAACAAATGGAGGAGACTAGACCCAGACACTATTCTATTGCCCCTAATTTCATTTAAAAAAAAATTGGTACAGTTGCCTTGGAACTTCTAGGATTTTACAAATGGTAGCACTTTGAGAATTTTTCTTCTCTTAGAAGTTTAGTATCTTATGTTGTGGAAAATAAGATGGTTCTTAAATCATAGACATTCTTAAAGATCTACTTCATAACTTGCCTAATGAGTGTTATTTTAAACTGTCTTAAAGGTATTGTCATGAATAACTTGTTAATACTTCTTAATTTAGTTATATTTTGCCATTTAGATAGTTAATTGGTGTTTCTTATTCTACATCTTTGACTATTTGCTATTTGATCATTCCGTTTCATGGCTCATTGCATGTAGCTGATTCTCTTTATTAGGGCAGGACACTGTCTCCACCCAGACTAGCTCTATTGTGACATATAATGTTGCCACGACCAACACTTTCCTCTTTGCCATGCATCAAATCAGCATGGAAAATATAAACCCGGTAGTAGTTTTATAGGTTGATTGTAGCGTTAAGTTATAAAACTTTTGTTCTTTATAAGTGGATGCGCTCAAAGGTCAGTGATTATTCAAGTTCATACAATGCTTTATTTAGGGGATGGCTAAGTTAGGTCAGGAGACAGCTTGAAACACACTTTCCTGTTTGTGGTCTTCGTTTTTGATGACTGTGACAGTGCTGAGTCTCTTCCATTTACGTCCAGCTGCCCTTGTTCATCCCAGAGTGAATTTTTAGATCTGTCTCTTTGTCCCTTTCTGCTCTTGACTTCCTTTGGTGTAAATGTGTTCTTATGGAATAGCGGTTCTGAATCCCTCTACTTAAATGTTTTAAAAGTTACCAGATTCATTTTTATGTTATATAGTGAACATTTTTCTTTTTAAATCCGCCATTTTCAATATTTTATTTTATTCTTTGGTTTTGGGGCCATACCTGTAGAGCTTACTCTTGGCTCTACACTCAGGGATCACTGCTGGCAAGGGCTCTGGGGACAATATGGGATGCTGGGGAGCAAAACCACGTTGGCCCTGTGCAAGGCAAACGCTCTACCTGCTGTAGTAATGCTCTGGCCTCATTTTCAGTATTTTAAAAATAAAATTTATATTAAAATATATGCAAGGCATGCATTTAGCCTTTGCACTATCTCCCCAGCCCTCTATAATGTGATTTTATTTATTTTTTGCTTTTTGGGTCACACCCAGCGATGCACAAGAGTTACTCCTGATTCATGCGCCCAGGAATTACTCCTGGCGGTGCTCGGGGGTCCATATGGGATGCTGGGAATTGAACCCAGCTCGGGCCAAGTGCAAGGCAGACGCCCTACCCGCTGTGCTATCATTCCAGCCCCATCTATAATGTGATTTTAAAGCTTGGAAAGAAGGGACTGGAAAGAGTATAGTGGGTAAGGTGCTTGTTTCGTTGTGGCCTATCTGGGTTTTATCCTCAGCATCTCATATTGTCCACTGAGCATACCAGAAGTGATCCCTAAGACCAGAGCAAGGAGTAAGCCCTGAGCACAGCTGGGTATGACACACCACCCCCCAAAGTAAATAAAAAACTAGAGAGAAAATATAATTTTGTACAGTAAACATATTTATTGAATTATTCTGTATCTCCCTTATTTTTTGTTAATTCACTCAACAAATACTTGAAAATATCATCTCTAAAGGATATTAGTCTAATAAAAGACATAAAAGGAGAGTTCAGAAGCCAGTGTAGAACATTAATACAGGCTTTTGTAGTCTGAGTAAGAATGTGTAAGTGCCAGAATGAGTGCAGTTTGTTCAAAGGAGGGGAAAACTAGGTGTATAGAAAATTAAATGCATTTTAATATATTACTGTTGATTGGTTGGATTAGACAATTCATTTTGGAGATACCATTTAATTAAATAATAGAATCAGAATTTCAAAGATGGGAAGAAAAATATCTTGAAATTTTTTTAGTCAGGTCTCACTTAATGACCGGAAAAGAAGCATCCTAGAGAGGTGTTTGTCTTTATAAGACATCCTGCTTCTTTCACGCCCATGAATGTAGAATGGCCCTCAGAATTTAGCTTCCCTAATTTTCATTCTGTTGCTGTGGTGTTATCTGTATCTCTTGTTTGAATTCTTGACACTAGAATTCTGGTTTTGTATTTAGTTATTGGACTTTCGGCTCTCATGGAGACTCAGTGGAGGGTAGGGTTTTACTCTAGAGAGATAGTATAGTGGTTACAGCATTAACCTTGCATGAGGCTGACCCTGGTTTGATTCCTGGCACCATATATGATCTCCTGCTAACCACCAGAAGTGATGCTGAGGACTGCTGGCTGTGATTCAAACTTCCTGTTCTCTTATCTCCCTGTCCAATTATTGGGGGGACTTAATTCTAGTGCTTTGTTCAGTACACATGCATCCTCTCTAGTGAAATGAAAACAAAACCCTGTGTTAGACCCTAACTTTGTTCCTAACCTGCTATGAGACCTTAGAAAGTGATTTAGCATACCTGTGCTTCAGTATAACACTATAGCACTGTCCTCCCATTGTTCATCGATTTGCTTGAGCGGGTACCAGTAATGTCTCCATTGTGAGACTTGTTACTGTTTTTGGCATATCGTTTATGTCATGGGTAGCTTGCCAGGCTTTGTCGTGTGGGCTGAATACTCTTGGTAGCATGCTGGGGTCTCTGAGAGGGGCGGAGGAATTGAACCTGGGTCAGCCGTGTGCAAGGCAAACGCCCTACCCACTATGCTTTCGCTCCCACTGATGAATATACATTTAGGATATAATAAGCTTAATATGGGCAGACTGTAATTAGGTAGTAATTGTATCAGTAATAATTCAGGAAAATATTTACAGCCATAGTATTATTTAAATTTTGTTTGTTTTAATAAAGCATGTTGTTTTATAAAGTTACAGTTGAGTTTTAGGCATACAGCATTAATACCACCACCCACTTCCCTCTATAGTATTCTTACCAATTGAAACTCATGGTCCTTGTGAGTGATGGGAATGCTAATTGTAGGGCATAGTTCAGGACTCTGGAGTCCTCAAAAAGATAAAGGTAAAATAATCAAAGGTAAAAAGTGATTTGCCTTATTAGGCCATCTTGCCTGACTAGACCGAGGTTGTCTGAATTCTAGTGCTTTGGTCAGTACACATGTATCCCCTCTAATTAAAGAAAAAAAAGTTGCAAAAATTGAGTATAGTGACCATCTTTTTGTGGCCTCAAAACTTACTGCACTCTATATGTTTTTAAAAATGGCCTACAATTCAACATTCTCATGAAAAATGGATAACTTGATATCCTTCAAGTTGCAGTAATTTTCAGTGTTTGAGTGTTGAAAGCCTTATCCTTATAAACATGACCCATAATTTATGGATGTTCTCTATTTTGTTGTCATTTATGAACATTTGATGTCACTACTCCCTTGTGCATTTAAAATTTAAGATGATCTGTCAAGAGAGTACAGGAGTTCTGGTGCCGCTTGCATTTGGCTGACCATTGTTTGATCTCTGGCCCCAGATGATGGACTCCTAAGTG